TAGATAGATTTGCACCAAAAAACATCCGCACATCATTCCAGCTGGATCCAGCTGGAATGATGTTGGTCCAGCAAAAATCCAGCTGGATTAAAAACACTGCTGTATTGCAATCCCTAATTACAACATGTGGAATTTAACTTAACAATGATCATTTGCTTAATCTTATTCTAAACAAAAAACTTTAGCTTACCAATCTTAAAAATACAATTAATATCCATTTAATTATCTTTAGTGAATCAAGACCCATGGCAGTGTCTCTGCACCAAGTAAAATAGATACTGACTGATATATATACAGGAATCAGAGTTGCCGATTTTCAGGGATTGATTTTGTTGCTTCTCCAAATGCCTTTTAGTAATTCCGAATATCTCATTTGAAAGATAATTGTTTTTTTAGGTAGTTTGCAAAATTTCACATTTTTCAGTTAAGGGGTTGCAGAAATATAAGCAATTGAAAAGTTCAAAAATTCCAAAAAATTTCTTTTCTTCTTTTCTTCATTTGGCACCAGATGCTCCTAGAGGAAAAATTACTGGGTCTAGAAAACTCAAATTTTAAACTTAAGCCTTTTTTGTTATCAGTGAAATGTCAGCAAAACTTCTGGGTCAATAGGTCAAAGTTCATGTGGGTTTCCCCCATAGAGCTATTTTGCTTTTATCACTTAATTGTATGCTTGTAAGCTTAAAATTGCATCAAAACATAATTTTTATTCAAAATGTTAAACAGAATAACAAAAGCTCAAATTTATGTCAATTAAAAATTTTAATAACAATTTTACCAAAAGTGCATCAAAAGCATTTGTTTGGCATTCTGCAAAATGAATGCTTTCTTTGCCAAATGCCAACTGAACTATACAACTTCTTAGCACTTGATTTAATAACACATTCAATATGTAAACAAATTGCAGCAAGTAAAAAATTATGATAATTTAGACAACTGATTGTCATCTAAATTGTCATAATTTTTTACTTCTCAGATGTTTTTCTTTGTATTTTTTCATTATCTGGTATAAATTTTTTCATCACTTTAAAATAGTTATAATTTCTTAGTTAAAATTATATAGAAAAAAATTATTAAACCATTCAATCAACAAAAATGTATTAAATTTATTCCTTTTTTTTTATTTCATTTACATTTTCTGTATAATTATGAAGTAAATGAGCAAATTTTTCTTTTCCAATATTCAGTGTCCTGTAATAATAATACAAATAAAATTATTTTTGTTTTAATACATTTTTATCAATGTGAAAAAAAGAAGAGGAATATTAAAAAACTATTTTAGCAACAATTGTTTTCTGTTATGTCAAATTTAAGAATTTATATTGCAAGAGATTAACTAATAATTAGATAAACTACATAGAAATTATAACACCGTAATTGATAAATTACCTAACTTCACTGCCTGTAACCAGTGTTCTTCTCCAATACAATCCTTCGTATTGGAGAAGAACACCAGTTACAGGCAGTGAAGTTAGGTAACTAATAATTAATTAAAATCAAAATAAGTCAAACCATTTTTTTCAAGTTTTGTTTTCTTGAAACCTTCATTGTCAATATTGTTCACTATGATTCTGACACTTTGGTTTAATGGTGGATATCTCATCTTTTCATTGGCTTTCTTTTTTATTTCTACTTTATTAACAGTTTGTATCTAATAAATGGACAAAACAAATATTGATAATTAAAAATTAATTTACACAATATTAAAAATAGTATTTACTAATTACAAAATAATAATGACTTAATCGAAAAGTCCATGTCAGATTTTACACACTAGTTTCAATTCGACAATGTTCGAAATTAGAATGTTACTTGGTAAGTGATGTTTAATTTTTAAGATATAGAACATCCTGTATTTCTCATATGTTCATAATTAAAAACATAATTTAAAAAAACCATAATATCCTATATATATGCCAAATACATGTGGATGTCTACAGATGGCTGGGCTGGGTGTTAAGAAGCATATGCAGA